GCGCGCCCCTTTGTCAGTCAAAATTGGATTCCTTAGCAACAAAATTAAGGTATGACACCGATAATGACCATGCATCAGAACCCTAGTCTTAACCACTTCAAACTAGGGAACAATGATTAGAAGATTAGGAATCACATAGATGAAGACAACTAACTCACTTTTTCCTTGTTTCAAGATCATCCTCGGTAGACAAAGCCGAGTCTTGTCACTATGAACAAGGCATAAAAAGTAACAAGGACTAAGATGTGTTCCTTGGATTACTGAAAAATCCTGTTCCCTTAGTTTGAAGTAGTCAGGACTAGGAATCGGTGGTAGATCTTACATCCCGTAACGTACCACGAAAAGGTGATCTACCCACGTTACGGGGACGGGAGCTTCCAGATGCTTGGAAAGTAGGGCAGTTCCAAGCATCTGTTGAATATAGCGGTTAGAAGAGACTGCACTTTCATGCTGAGTCTCTTCAAGATCAAGTTAAATATACCGTCAAACCCGGGAGCCTTCATGTTCTTGGTGCATTTCAGCGCTGAGCAAATCTGTTGTGCTGTAATCATATCCGCCGGGGGCACGACACAAGGGGAGGCATGTAGGTTTTGAACGCATTGCGCAACCTGATCTTCGAGCGGACTTTGGATATTTGAGCCAAGGAAATGCGATGAAGCGGCATGCTCGCCGATCGCATTTGCTTTCTCTTGTGGGGTGATTAAAAGTCGATCGTCATCATTTTCGACTCTGAGGGGTGGAACTGGTTTGGGAGGAGTTTTCAGGACCTTGGCTACCTTCCAGAATGGTCTGAAGCGGTCGTCCAGATTCTGGACAACACGTCCGAAACTTTCATTTCGGAGTGAGTCCATTCTGGAAGCAATCTGCCTGTTCAGATCGGCCATTTCACGTCTTTTGCCCAGATCTCCAGTCCTCTGAAACTGGCGTCTACGAGCATTTCTCAGGCGAATCAAGAGTTGGGTGTGGGAATCAATGGCAATAAACTTACCCCTCACAGGAACTCGTCGGACGCACGCCTCGTCAGCTACGGTTATGGCTTGGTGGAGTCGATGCTCGGTCGATGTCCTCCACGGTGTTAACCGGTGGGTTGTCGATGATGTGTCTGTCTACCACGTGTCCAAACTGGGCCCAGTTTACGCGGTGGTAGTCCTTGTGCAGACTTAGAGCAGGGGCCACGTTGTAGCCTAGTTCAGCCACCACCGGTTGGTGGTCGGAGCTGAGTTCGTTCAAGGCTACCGGCTTGGACAAGCTGGTATTTGGCAGGAACAGGTCTAGCGTCGATGGGTTGCCCGCCGGTGAGATGAATGTTGGTTCATCCGAAAACCAAACGGAGTACAGCCCATGCTGTGAGTGGTCGAACAGGAGACGACCGTTCTGGTTCTGCTGGTAGTTCCGCCAGGCCTCATGGCGAGCATTCAGATCTCCTCCAACTACGAAGCGGGAACCGGTACGGGTGATGGTGGACAGGTCCTTCTTAAATTTAGCCGCTAGTCCACTGCTGGCGGCACACTGTCGAGGGCAGTAGACGGCGATGAACTGAACGTATCCAGTCGACGACTCCACCTCCACACCAAGGGCCTCGATGATAGAGGTGCGGATATGGGACAGAGTGTGGTATTTTATTCCGTTCTTGACGACGACCGCAACACCACCCCGCCTGGAGCTGGTGCGATCAAGCCGAATAATGTTTTGGTCAGACAACCAGAAGCTGCCGCCGGACATTAGATGAGTCTCGGTTAGAAGGCCCACGTCGATGCTGTGCTTGCGGAGGAAGCCGACAAGCTCAATCTCTTTTGCTCTTACAGAGCAAGCATTCCATGTGACGATAGTTAGCGGTTTAGACGCCATACTGGATGATGAACTTACCGAGCACTTGGATCTGTTCGGGCTTATTGCGGCACTTACGAAGAGCACCGGACATGTTGGCGAAAATTTCCATCAGTTCATCCGCTGAGAACAGATCGGGGTTGTTGTTGGTTTGCGCTGTTAGTTGTCTCCAGAATCCAGGGGGGATGGAGAGCTTTGGCCAGCAGAATCACCCGAAGTTGCTTGAGTGGAATGCCGGGACTTTGTCCTTCTTGCATCCTGGTTGGTTGTTAGTTGCCGCCTGTTTTCGGATGCGTTTCAAGTCCTCGCGTTTGGAGCACTGTCTGTCAGAACGTTGATGTGCACCACCACAGTTGGCGCATTTTAACGCCACGGATACATCCGCAGGGCAGTCAGAAGTGGCGTGTAAGTGAGCGCAGTTGCTGCAGCGTGGCTTGATGTTGCAGTTCAGACATCGTTGGCACTGGGTCACATCGCGATGGCCTCCACGGTATGGCTCCCATCGTACGATGATGGAGTACATTGAGCGGATAGCCTGCAGCGCATTCAGCGTCACCGTTCCTGTTACTGCGAGGCAATTAATTTAAGATCAAGTCTATAAGCCAACCCGCATAGTTGCATAAGTCTTAGCTGATGTCGATACCAAGGCCAAGGAAAAGAAATGAAAAGTAGGGCAAAACAACGACAGCTCGATTACATAATCTGACTGCACTATTTACTTAGGATGCATATGCGCTCGAGTAGAATAAACACGCCCACACGCGACATATTTGCGCATATAGATTAAGATTAGTTTTCCGTCTTTGTTCATCCTTCTAATGTTTAAACGTTACAAATGTTCGAATTCTTATTTGTAGATCCATATCGGATCTGAGTTACAAAAAGTAATAAAGTCATGATCATATTGAGACATTCCGGTTCCGAAAAAGTACATAGTATATAAGGACTCGAAAACATAGATTAGCCCTTTTTAAGCCCGCGTAGAAATTCGATTATAACTAGCAGGAATCAGCTTAAAGTTCGGTATTGGTAGGGACATGGAAAATTCCATAGTGACAGGAAATTATTTTACATAATTATAGATCGCTAATGTAACCCATAGATTTAAGATCACTTTGTACAGAATGTTCGTAGGTTACTCCAGATTCTTCATTTTTTGAATCCGAAAGAACTTCGGCCTAGAAGCGAAAACTTCTCTCCTTAACCGGAGAAAAAGGTAGCTCCTAGAATCGAAAAACAGTGTCTGACCTAGTAAGCGAAAGACTCTCCCTAACCGGAGAAGAAAGTAGCTTTGGCGGCGACAGTTCCCTTCTGGAAGTGCACCAGGAAAAGACAATCCGGGTACGTCTTCACGTTTTCGTCTCTCCTCGTCATCCGAAAGACAGCTATTGGGGCCAGCTTGTACCGGTCCTTGAGTGCTTCTTTGATCGCCTTTGGGTCAACATTCGGTAGACCCCTGATGACTACCTTGAAGGGCTTCTCACCGGGGATGTCGTGCGTGAAGTATTCCGCGTTGGAATGCTTCAGAAATTTGACGGCGATTTCGTCCGGAGCATCACCTTAGTGCCGATCCTGCTGATCTTGTACTCAGCTGCAATGCCCAGCGATGCGAAATCGTCAATGAGCGTCTTGAGAGGCACTACCTTCACCACCAGTGGAGGAAGCTTGACTTTCGCCGCACTCGGGCCGGCAGAATTCTCGGTTTCGACGGCGGCGTCGAAATCACCGATGTCGCTGGCGTTCGTCGCGGTAACATCGTCGCGTCCGCTCGTACCATGTCCTTGATTCTTCTTCCTCTTTTTCGTCCACTTCACCGAGACTATTCGAGGTAGGTACCGAGCTACTCTCACCACTGTTCTTCTTCTCCGCTTGGTCACGAAGTCTGCTCCAGGAGCGCTGTCTTCCCATCACGCGATGCGACCAACACTACTGACGACGCGACGTGCAGTATATCTGCGAACGTTTGTAACAAACTATAGGTTGATCGAACAACTCGACAGAGCGAGCAAAGACCGAACTGTACAGCTTGACGTTCAAGCAAAGAATGACCCCGAACAGTGGCGGTAGTAGTAGTAAAATTTACGTTTATTTTCTCGTTTTTTATGTTTCAACATTTGGTTTAGCATTTCAATTGGTTAGCCTTTGGCTCTTCATCTTTGTTCTACTTAATTGGTTATTCTAATGTGATGATTGCGTTTAGCGCTAATATACAGGATACCCTTTTATGGTATTGTTTTCGTTTGAATTTAAACATTTGATAGCCTACCTACTTGAGCACAGGAACCGGCCAGGTTGTGAATCTCAGAATTACTAGTTCGCGGTGGACTGTTAAGGATCATTCTGAGGATCTAGTTTTGGCTCCTCTGTAGCTTTAGGTGGTGGCACTTAGCACAACTCTCTCAGATTGGCATACCATACTCAATAGCCGGCAGAATGATCTGCTTGTGGATAGGGTGGTCTTCCTGTTTATCAGAGGATAGAGAGAACTTTTCAAGATGTTACACTTGGTGGATGTCTTGTCCACATGGAATGGGAATAGCAATTTGTTATCTAGGGTGAGACCAAGGTAGACTACTTCGCTCGACCATTCAATGGGATTGCTATCAAGATGGACCTTGACGTTTGCAGGTGGAACAAGCCGAGGTGGATTGGAGTGTGGAAACAGAATGGTTTGCAATGGTAAGCAAGATTAGATCTAAGCAGGTGTCTTGTATTGTCTTTGGAAAATTTGGCCACGTGATTGAAACCTTCTGTCTCCCATAGACAGATATGTTGACAATTTTCTCACTACACGGCGCTTGTGTACATATCATCAGGATAGTCATAGTTACCTGACCTTCTTTACCAAAGACGGCAACTTTCTAGATGGTCAGGCATTCGATATTTAGCACATACTGAAAGCTCACATTCATATTTGTGCCTTGTAGTGAGAACATTTTGAACTAGTTTATCTACATCCAAAAAGCATTGAATTCGAACAAGAGAAATCCTGGATAGTCAGGCCATCAAGATAAAGCTTATAGGAACAGGAAGTTCACATGTACACTAGTGTCTAAAATTCATGTTCTATACTTTATTTTTTTAAATTAACTGTAATCTTTATTTCATAGTCAAACAATTATTCAAGCCAAGCGTAATCTTCTATAAGCGGAAAATTTAAAGAATATCTTATTTGTGTAATTGAAAAACGTCACAATTCTACACGTCGACTACCAGATCTTATCTAATCAAGTTAAAGCTACAACCCACAACCCCATATCACACCTTGAACCGTCCCATCTGAGTGGCGTAGGCGATCAAGTGGGGAACGGCACTCTGCTCCATGTTGCCCCGGAAGAGATGAGCCATCGGACCCCGAGCGTAGACCACCACATCTTCGCCACCGTGCGTAGATTCATCCAGCGGAACCGTCGCTGGGTACTGCGTCCGGAAGTTCTTGAAATCCATTCCGGTAATGTCCACCCGTTCACCACGATTTTCCTCCTTGTACGTGCCGTAGTATCCTGGCCCATTGGCGTAGCTCAACGTAGCGTACGGAAGTCCATCCTCATCGCTGAGACCAGCAATGCCAAGAACGTCACTGCCGCGGCTCTGTTCGCATGTAAAAATGTATAATTACACTTGAATTAAAAACCAATTATGTTGAACTTACCGCATATCCATTGTACGTCATGGTGTGTCCATGATCGGCCGTAACCACAATCAGAGTGTCATCCTCACGGGTCATACTCCGAACCAAGTCAACTGCCCTGGAGAACTCTGCAGTTTCCTCCAGTGCCAAGCGCGGTCTCGTTTCGTGATGGGCCGTATCAATTCGACCACCTTCAACTAGCAAAAAGAATCCCCCTTCATGTCTGTCCATCATCCTCAACGCAATCGCAACCATATCCGGCAAGTTCGGCTCAGTCATCTGCACACCTTGCTCCAGAACTTCCAAGTGATACATCAAATGGCTGCTCTCGAACAGTCCCAACAACCGCTCGGTTTGACTGAACCTAACTGAGGTCAGAGCAGTCCTATTCCAGATGAACTCCCCATCGGGATGCAGCTGCTTCCACTCGTTGATCAAATTTCGTCCATCAGTTCGGGATCCGTAGCTTCCCTCTTCGTCCCTGTCAGTTGACGGTATGAAATGTCTTCGGCCTCCACCAAGAATGACATTCAAATTCCGTCCCACTTCGCCATGGATCAACTGCTGAGCAATGTCCGGATTACTAGCTGGATCACAACCGCTTGCTCTCACGTACGAATCATCTTCCCAGTTATCGTTAGTCACACTGGCATACGCAGCCGCCGCAGTTGAATCGGTAACGCGTGCTGTCGACACCAACCCTGTCATCATGCCGTTATCCTGTGCCCACTTCAGTAGGCCCTCGATCTGTGCACCAGATCCACAGCTATTGAAAGGAATCTCCGAAGCCTTGTTGACCATGCCGTAGTTGGTTTTCACCCCGGAGAGCAGCGCCGTTGCCGTACATGCCGAATCGGCCACCTGCTTATCAATACAGTACGTACGGGTGGTTGCCAGGTTGACAAACTCTTCGAACGGAAGCATTTTGTTCTCATTTCCAAGGTACATCCGGGTGGCGGCAACCGTTTGTGGGGACATTCCGTCACCGATGAAGAAGACTACATTCTTGGGCTTTGACACTACGGGAGATTCGGTCAGTTTGGATGCGATGGTATTGCGGGCGGCCTGTCGCCAGAATTCCGAGGTGGTTTCGATTTCCTGGTAGCCCACATGTTGATTCGGGTCATCCGGAGAGGACCGTTTGTGCTGGTGATCGTTGTCGTACGTCCGGCGGGGAATCGCAGCCGTGGTGAGTATACCGCAAATGGCAACTAATGCCAGCGAAGTCTTCATGGCTGAAGGTAGTAGTGCGGCTTCGGTGGTCAGAACGGAACTGAGCTGGTACGACTTTACTAAGGTTCTTTTATGGACGACTAAGGGGACGGATGATATGACACGAGTTTGAGCAGCAGACTTCAGCCTAAATTGGTATGTACTCGTTTCCGAATCGCGTGATAATCATGTGCCCGGGCGATGCTTTTTATGGCCTCTTGGGTTTTTATCATCTGATCGATCAGGTTCGGAAGGTGTGTCGAGTCGGTGGGAGTCGGAGGCTATGATGTGCAATAAACGTGGCCAGTTGATATTGAAGCTATTTTCGGAACGTGATTGGTCATTTTATTATTCTTAGAAAAATTGGAAATTTGGAAAAAGGGAAAATGTCTTTGGTGCACTGTTTTAATAAATCTCGAATTGGGGAACAATAATTCAGACATTTGATAATTCCTAAGAATAGAAACCATTTTTTTTCGACCCGAAATTTTGTGTAGCAAAATGCTGTCGTCAATTAATAGGAGGAATGAAATGACGACTGCAATCTGAAACTATGCTTTTTAAATAAACTGGCTTAAGGAAAGCGAACTAAAGTTAATTGTGCCTCTACTTATTTCATTATCAATAAGATTATTTTTTGTTTGCTTAGCCAGTTAATGTATTTAATGCATATTTTTCGATTCAAAACGATTTGATCCTGCATGAGTTTGCAGAGCCGTACTCAGAATTTGTGTGAAGGTGGCAAACTCTCAGTAATGCACCCCTCCTCCTGGCTCTTCCACTTATACGATGCCCTCATCGTGTTCCATAAATCCGGGTTTAGACAAAGCAAGCCAAAGAACAATTCTAGATAGAGGGCGTAACAACTTTTGTAAACAATGACTTCTTTCGATGATTTCTAGAAAGTCAAGGCTCGCCAACGCAAATCAACATCACCATCGGGTAGGGCAAGACTTGCTCTACCCGACGGTAATGTTAGTTTGCGTGGGCGTGCCTTGAATTCCTAGAAAACATCGAGAGAAGTCATTGTTTACAAAAGCTGTTACGCCCTAATTCCAGCTCTATCTAGAATTTATGTTTCAAACAGATGGCGCTGTTCCATTGCACAGTGGTCCAGAATGCAGATTTAGGTGGAATGATATGTTTTGAGCCTGAAATTGAAACTTTAGACTAAAAGTCTCTTCTACAAAGTTGTTCCTTATAGTTAGGCTCTTATTTTTATGACAATGAATTCTAGGGTGGTTCTTATTATCATTAAAATCAAAAATCTAACTTTTTTGTTTGAATAAATTAAGGCATATATTCTTTGGCTGAGCTAATTTCAAAAAACTTTGTTGGAAACAACTTTTTTGCATCTCTTAAATTGGCCGATTTAGAGCTATTTTCTTGAATTGAGTTAGGGTGACGCTAAAAAAAAACAGTTTTTTGCTCTAGTTTTCTTATTTCAAATTTCTCAGCAAAGGTGTCTTCAAATGACTTTTATATCTTTAGAAGGCGCAAATTTTTGCTGCACGAAGCTTGTCAATGATTTGTATGTATTTGTATGTTTTTGTATGATTTGTATTTTTGCTGCACGAAGCTTGTCAATGATTTGTATGTATTTGTATGTTTTTGTATGATTTGTATTGTGTCATGTATTCTGATGACTATTGTTTTGTTATTTCCCTTTCACAGACTTCAGAATAGAGTACCTGGCACTGCTAATGTTCTTGGTGGTACCCTTATTTATGCATTTAGATAAACATCTGAAGCCTCTCCTTTTTTGTATCCTTGGCACAAAATATACTTTCTTAGCCCCACCCTTTTCATGAAAATGGCTGGAAATCGTGTTCGGGCGGGGCTTAGAAAGTATATTTCGTGCTGGGTATGAAAAAATGATGGACTTCGGATGTGAATCTAAATGCATATATGTAGGAGTACTAGACATGTTTTGCAGTGTCAGGTACTCTATTTTGTAGTCTGTGAAAGGGATTTCTATATATATTGTGTCAAATCCGAATATCTCAAATATATATATCAATATACCTCTGAGATATTTAGAAGATTTAAATTCTATTTGATGTACATTTTGAATAATTGATGACATTTTGTGTTCACTTGCGCAGTTTTTAGAAAATCCATTCAGAAAATCATATATTTTTGTTTCAAACTTCATGTCATAAATATATATCAGTACCCTAAAAATAATAGCATTGATCTGGAAAAGATTGGATTGATCAGTACCGATCGAGGAAAAAATTATAAACCTATTCTTTAAAACGATTTTTTGAAATATGATTCAAAAAACGTGAATTTCAGGCAAATTTTATAAAACTTGGTAAATTTCTGTTGTTTGAAGATGCATGGCTTTTATTTCTTCGGCAACTTTTCATAAAATTATACGTTCTACAACTTTGCTCAAGATTGAAAACATCTATCTTGCGAAATAAAATGTTGGTATCGCAGCACTATATTTGCGGCCGAAACATGAACTGTTTTTATCCACCAAATTGCAGTCCTAATTAATCCAAGAAACTTCACTGAAGCCGACAACTCAATTGGAAATCAGTTGGAAAGGTGTTATTATTTTTTTCCCTGCTAGATTCAATTCCTGGTGCACTGTGCGCTGTCATCTGTGAACAACTAACGGAAAACAAAGTATGCGTAGCCTTCGATAGATGTCTCCGCAACAACAGCATTGACAACTGATGGAAAATGAATGCAGAAGCTTGGCTAAATGGCTAATTGATCAACTCAGTTGAATTGAACGTGCCATTCAACTGACTCTTGGATTGAAAAAAATTGGACCCATCTCAGCTTTTCAAGCCAATTGAATTCAACTGAGTAGTTCAATTGACATGCCTTGTCTAAACCCAGCTTGACAGTGGAAGTTATTCAGGTCAAGGATGCTAGGGATCATCAACTTTATCGATGAAATGTCTTCAAATGTCATCACCGCTACTTTTAAAATGTTCGATATTTCAGATTTAGTCTTTCCAGAAGTTTAGGAGCCTTCATAGAAGTCATAAACAATTCGTAAAAGTTATTTTTATCCATCAAATTGCAGTCCTAATAAATCCAAGAAACTTCACTGAAGCCTCAATTGGAAATCAATTGGAAAGGTGTTATTATTTATTTACTGCTAGATTCAATTCCTGGTGCACTGTGCACTGTCCTCTGTGAACAACTAACGGAAAACAAAGTATGCGTAGTTTCCGATAGATGTCTCCGCAAACAACAGCAGTGACACCTGATGGAAAATGAATGCAGAAGCTTGGCAAAATGGTTAATTAATCAACTCAGCCGAATTGAACGTGCCATTCAACTGACAATTGAAATGAAAAAAGTTGGACCAGGCTCAGCGTTTCAAGCCAATTGAATTCAACTGAGTAGATCGATGGACTTGCCTTGTCTAAACCCAGCTTGACAGTGAAAGTTATTCAGACCAGGGATGCTAGGGATCATCAACTATATCGATCGTCGCCGCTACTTTTAAAATGTTCGATATTTATAAAACAGAGTATTTCCAAAAGTTAAGGGGCTTACGAACAATTCGTAAAAGTTAATCCATCTTTCCATGCTCGGTAATGGCGGCCTGTTTTCATGAATACATGTATCCTGTTTTTTGAAACTATCTGGATGTTCGGACTTTGACCCCTCCCTTTCCCTCTCCGAGCAACAGAAGAAAATGGGACAACATACGCCCTTCAGTTCAGGGGAAACATGTCTGAAGGGTATAACTCGAAACGTAAACAATGACTTTAAACACCGATTTCTCTTGAATGACCACACACCCACGGAATCTGTCTACACCAGCTCATAGAACAAACATTTCTCTGTCAGATGATTTAGTTAGTTTGAGTGGGTGTGTTGTCATTCGTAAGAAATCGACGATCCAAGTCATTGTTTACGTTTCGAGTTAGACCCTTCTGATATGTTTCCCCTGAGTTAGTGTCAAAAAGCACAGCGAAGGATACATTTATTCATACAAACAGGCCGCCATTACCGAGCATGAAAAGCTGGATATAACATATTTTTTTTACTGAGAACTTCGTAGAAGCTCGGAGATCTTTTTTGAAAGTACAAGGAACGTTGTAGTATTTAAAGGGACTTCATAGATCTTCAAGAAACATCGAAGAAGTTTCGAAAACTTCGTAGACATTCATTGAACTGTGTAGAATGTCAGGAAACTTTGTTGAAGTGCAACCAAATTTTATAGACATTCTGCTAACTTTGTAAATGCTCAGCGAATTTTGTAGAACCTCAGTGAACTTCATAGAACTTCAAAGAATCAACATACGTATCAACATTGTAGAACTTTGGCAAGTTTTGTATGAGTTAAGAGAACTATGTACAACTTCTTCAAACTGTGTAGAAAATAAGCGAACTTTTGAGAAATTTAACGAACTTCGCAGAAATTCGGGAAATTTCGTTGACGTTCAGGTTTTTTATTGAACCACATTATTTTTTTTTTAAATTTAAGTCACTATTTAGGTATTTTTTAAATAAACTCAGGAAAATTCGTAGAGCTTCAGATGGATTTTAAGTAATTTAGAGTGCTTTGTAATTTTTTTTGGAAACTATGCACAACTAGGAATCTTACATCTTTGTTAATGTTATGGAATCTTTGGTTTATGTTGAGAAACATTATAAAAGTTTTTTCATAGCTTCAGGGATGTTTTTAAAACTTAAAATTTTTTGGAGATGAACCAGCCTGCGGCAGAAAATCTACTTAATAAAGGAAATCGATCAATCAACTTAAAATAGCTTCTTAAAAATTGTTAAATTCTTAAGACTTTAAACAGATCAGGAAATTCCGTAGAAATTCAGGAAACTTAGTTTAACTTCAGGCAACTTCGCAGAAAATCTTGGAAATTCTAAAAAGTTAAGGGATCTTTGTGCAGCTTGGAATTTTGAGAACTTTGTAAAAGTCACTACGTAGTAGTTAGGCAAAATTGTAGAGGCTCAGTAAACTTCGTAGATGCTCAGGAATTTTCGCAGAAGCTCAGCGAGTATTGTAAACAATCATCATACTTCTTAGAACTTCAATGTTTGATTAAGA